TGGAAAGTATATCAGGAATTTCTTCAATGGCCTTAATCTGTGCAGGATTCACTTCAATACCACGGTTAGAAATAAGAAAACCTAAAAACTTACCTGATGCCACACCAAATGCACATTTTTCTGGATTTAACTTCATATTATATTTTCGTAAAATTTTAAACGTATCAGATAGGTGCGATATATGATCTTCTGAATGTTGAGTCTTAACTAGAATATCATCTATATATACTTCCATGGTTTTACCTAAATGTTCTTAAAACATTTGGGTGACCAACCTTTGATACGTTGCACCTGCATTCTTAAGACCGAAGGGCATTACCTTGTAACAATAAGTCCCCCTGTGTGTTATAAAAGAAGTTTTTTCTTCATCTCCTGGATCCATCTTGATTTGATTATAGCCTGAATATGCATCTAAAAAACTTAATAGCTCATGCCCTGAAGTAGCATCAATTAACTGATCTATGTGCGGTAAAGGAAAGGAATCTTTTGGACAGGCTTTATTAAGGTCTGTGTAATCTACACAGACTCGCCACTTACCGTTCTTCTTAGGAACCACAACAGTATTAGCTAACCAGTTAGGATATTTTACCTCACGAATTGAACCAATTTTTAGCAACTTTTGAACTTCCTCTTGAATCACCTTATTTTTGAAAGTTCCTTGCTTTCTTTTCTTTTTCTTGATGGGAAGATATGATGGATCTTCATTCAACTTGTGACTCATGACTTCCGGTGGTATCCCTGTCATGTCAGAATGGGACCAAGCAAAACAGTCCGCATTAGCTTTTAAAAATTCAATCAATTTACGTTTTACCTCCGGGCTAAGATTAGCTCCTATGTACACTTTCCTCTCGGGCCAATGTATAAATAACACCACGGCCTCTAGCTCTTCTATCGTTGTTTTGATGTTCTCATTCTCCTCCGGTTCTTGAATGGTATCAGGTCTTGAATCCAGATCTGTTTGCTTTTGCTCAGGTGAGGTTGACTCCGTGTTACCCTCACCTAAATTCTGTAATTGCTATTTGTCTTCACCTTTAACAGTTGAATCTGCAACGGAATTGATGCTTCTAGATGTTTGTTGATCGCCTCTGATTTGGCATATTCCCCATGGAGATGGGAATTTAATAACTTGATGTAAAGTTGAAGGAACAGCTTCCATGTCATGAATCCATGGCCTCCCAAGAATCATATTGTAAGCCATTTCCATATCTACCACTTGAAATTTGGTATCTTTAACGACGCCTTCTACGAATGTAGTAAGTACTTCCTCCCCTTTTGTTACAACACTAGAGTTATTAAATCCCGACAAAGTATGCGCCTTTAGAATTAATTTATCCTCCGCTTGCATCTCGCGCAATACCCGTATTAAAACAATGTTTACAGAACTATCTGGATCAACCAAAACTCGTTTCACGTTAGTATCATGTACAAGTAAAGATATTACCAGTGCGTCGTTATGCGGAGTTATGAGTCCCTCGGTGTCTGCGTTGTTGAATATAACATTCTCTTCATCCAGTACATGTCGAGGCCGCTTCCCGTGGGTAATTGTCACTTTTGAAACCTTTTTATATGATACATCATTGATCTCTTCACCTCCACTTATAACGTTGACAGTTCTCTTGGGCGAAGGTGGTTTTGGAGGCTCATGTCTGTTCTTCATGTATGCTTGTTTACCTTTCTCACTGAACAACTCAGTAAGATACCCCTGTTTTAACAAATGATCAACTTCACCTTGTAGAAACCTGCAATCTGCTATTTTATGCCCATGATCGTTATGAAATTCGCACCAATGATCAAGGTTTCATCTGTTCGGATTTGATCGCATTTCCTTTGGCCATCGTACCTTATCTCCCATGCTTCTTAAAACAGCCACGAGTTCAGAGGTGCTTACGTTGAAGTTGTAACCACCGAACCTTGCCTTTAGACTTCCATCATCGTCTCGTGACCCACGTGTGTTCCGGTCATTTCCGAACCTCGATGAGGAGCCTGACTCCTTGTTTCTAGGTTTGTGATCGTACCTTTGATTATCTTGCCTTGATCGTGAGTCTTTCCCCCGCAGGTCCCATGTATGGCTCGTACCTGTTTTTACCGGATCTCTTTTCATTTTCCACACGCCTTGAGCTTACCTTTTCTTCTGTTTTATGTCGTAAAATAATGTCTTCTTCAATCCTCATCTTTGTACTGTATCTGTTGTAGACATCATTCCACGTTGTTGCTGGGAATTCTCGAAGGCTTTCTTTGAGTCGCCTCGTGGCCTCTGAACTCTTCTCATTCAAATTACTAGCAAAGGCTATGGCTGCCCAATTGTCAGGTACTCGTGGCAGCTTCATTCTTTCCCGTTGAAATCTATCTACGAACTCTCTAAGCAACTCTGAGTCTCCTTGCTTGATTTTGAAGATATCTTCCATTCACTTTTCAACTTTTTGAGCTCCCGAGTGTGCTTTGATAAATAAATCTGCAAGCTCAGCAAACGAATTTATAGAATTTTCAGGTAAAAGACAATACCATGTTAAGGCCCCTTTAGTGAGTGTTTCACAGAATTTCTTGACCAAGACCGACTCAATCTCTTGTTAGTCAAATCATTTCCCTTGACACCTGTTGTGAATGCAGTAACGTGATCTCGTGGATCTGATGTACCATCATACTTTGGAATATCAGGCATCTTAAACTTCTTTGGAATTGGGAGGGGAGCAGCACTTGGCTTCCATGGTTGTTGGGAATATTTATCTATATCTACTCCCTTGATCACGGGCGGTACTCCAGGTATTTGCTCTATGCGTTCATTTTGCTCCTTAAGCTGTTTCTGCAAGGTTAGTACTAGATTTTGTAAATTAGAGTTAATTGGATTACCTGGGTCTCTCTCTTGTGTTTCACTAGGGGTTCCACCGCTGCCTGAATTAACCAATCCTGAACGAGGATTCTCCAAAGTGTTGTTGTTTGGAGTAGATGTGGGTGGAACAGCAGGTAATTGGCTAACAAAAGCTTGAAGAGCGTTATTGACTTGAGAGGCAATAAGTTTTTGCAGAGCCTCATTCATGGTTTCAACATTTTCAAATTGAGCCTGTCCATCTGTTTGAGATCCATCAGGAGTGCCTTCACGAGACCGTCGTGGGGATCCTCGTGGAGAACCTTGTGGAGAGCCTCGTGGGGAATCTCCCTGAAGTTGTTGGATTGTTTGAATTTCTGGGTTTCCTTGAGTGTTGTCATTGTTGTTCGACATGATTGATGCAATCAAGAAAATTAGGTTGAGATATACTTGATTATCAGATTCCCGGTAACGGAACCAATTTGTTTAACCAAAAAATAGGATTTTAGTCAAAACTAGAATTTAGAAGAATCGGGTTACTGATAATCGAAAAAGTAAATAAAGAAATAAATTTTAGAGTAACCAAGTATGAAAGCTGGTAAATCAAAGTATATTCCAATAGTCACTTCCCCCTACAATTGTTTGTTTCTTCCCTTTTTATAGCTCTTTTAGGATACGAGCCTTACTTTTGTCATAATAATGCTATTATGGGCAATTAATGACTTTAAATGTTACGTCATGCAATCATATACATTAAATACATATTCTCTAACGTTTCCAATAATTAATACTCATTAAATGTTGTATCTGGGCTCCTTTTTGCTGTTAGATTCATTCCTTTGATTCTTCACTATCTTTGAGTTTCAAATGTCTTGAATAGGTACGAGCGTTGAATTACTTGTATGACTGCTCGCACCCCCTCCATTTAATTTACTCATATCTGTTGTTGCTCGTATCTGTTGTTGCTCGTATCTGTTAACCAACCTTATTTCTTTGACTGTTTGACCAGTCTATACGTCATGACACGTCACCATATACATAAATATAATTTTCACCAATACAGTTATGCCTTCGAGTTCGCAAACCTTCAAGTTGTTGGTCTTCAAGTTGAAGTCTGCAAGTCCGTCAGTCTTTAAGTTGAAGTATTCAAGCCCTCAAAGTCCATCGGTCTTCAAGTTGAAGTCCTTAGTTCACGAGAATTCAAGTTGAGTTGTTTAATACCTCCAAGTCTTTAAGTTGAGGTCTTCAAGTCTGCTAATTCTTCAAGTTGAAGTTTAAAGTCCGCCGCTCTTCAAGTTGACGCATCAAAGTCCGCCAAATCTTCAAATCCGTCAAATCATTAAGGTTGTCGATCTTCATGTTGAAGTCTACAAATCCACCAAGTTTTTAAGTCGAGGCTTTCTAATTTTCCAATTTAAGGAGGACGTTTAAGTCCCTTTGCACCTTAAGTTGGCCCCTTTTACGGGTTTTTCCTTAAAAGGAACTATGATTTTCCAATCTTAAGGTGGGCATTTAAGTGCTTTTGCACCTTAAGCTGGTCTCATCACGAATTTGATCCTTCTATATGTTGTTGATGATTTGTCCTTCTATAGGTTGCCATGGATTTGTCCTTCTATATGCTATTGCGGGTTGATCCTTCTATACATTGTTGAGAATTTGTTCTTCTATATGTTGTCACGGGGTTAATCTTCTATATGTTGATATGTATTTGTCCGTCTATATGGCGATACGTATTTGCCCCTCTATATGGTGATGTGGAATTATCCGTCTATATGTTGATGTGGATTTGTCCGTCTATATATTGAGGTGGATTTGTCCGTATATATGGCAATGTGGATTTGTCTGTCTATATGGTGATGTGGATTTGTCCGTCTATATAGTGATGTGGATTTGCCGTCTATATATTGAGATATATTTGTCCTTCTATATGTTGCGAGGGATTTGGCCTTTTATATGTTGTTGTAGATTTGATCATTTATATGTCGTGATGAATTTATCCTTCTATAGGACATCATGGAGTTGTTCGTCAACTTGGCACTCGACGACTCTTCTCTTCTTAGCTTACAACAATAAAAAAAAAAAAAAAGAGACGACAAGTAACACAGCAGTAGCCACAGATACGATCCTCAATCAACAAGGTCAAAATGTAATATGTGTTTATGTAGCTATTGGGCAAAAAGCATCTTTTGTGGCCCAGGTCGTAACTACTTTACAGGAAAGGGGAGCGATTGAATACACTATTGTGGTAGCCGAAACGGCGGATTCCCCTGCTACATTACAATACCTTGCTCCTTATACAGGAGCAGCTCTGGCTGAATATTTTATGTATCGTGGAAGAAAAGCACAAAAAAAGAAGAAGAAATTACCTTCGCGTCAAGGCTTCCAAATCGTCAAAAGTAAACTCAAAGTGGTTTGCAAACGCTGAAAGTGAAACTAATAGAATAAAGAGTATTGTACTTGTAGAAGTCATAAGGCAGTTCTTGAAGGTGAATTGCTGATGTGGGATTACATATTTTGCACTCCGGATGGGATTCGGCTACTGCAGGAATCCAAAGGCAACACAAATTGCTATTTGGAATTGAAACGCACTGGCGGCTACAACTTGTAATTGAAATACACTCAAATTGCCGATGCGAAGTTCTGTAATCATTACAATAAAGAGGGAATGTGATCCAATCATTACAATAAGGAGGGAATTAGTTTCCTACTAGATATGGAGATGCACTGGCGGTACTTATTTTAAAATAATAGTTTGCATGGTTTTGTCTTTGTCCTTATTCAAAAATAAATTATTTTTTTTTTGTCATAAGGGTTATATAATATTACGTAAGAAAAGTTACAGGGGGGGGGGGTGCCCTAGGCACTGTGGTCACTAAATAGTAGTCCATGCATGGACTTTGTACTAACCTACTGCTAGTTTGTACACTAGGATTCCTCTGGGGGATCATGACAAAAAACTGTAGTACTTGATCTAGTAGCGAGTTCGGATTCAAAATGTGGTTCCTTTGGACTCAAAGTACACAAATAGGTGGAAAAAAAAGTTACATTTTTATGTATAACGCTACAATACCTGGCGCTATTCATTAACGGTAACTGCACCGTTAATGTATAGCGCCAGGCATTGTGGCGCTATACTGCAAAAGCTGACACGGCGCAGGTATAACGCCATAATACCTGACTCTATACTCTTTTTTCCTGGCCCCACCAATAATTTCTGAGTTCAATAATTCAAAAGCTATAGTGCCAACTAGTTTGGCGCTATATATATAAAAAAAAAACTTTCCGGCTGCCATTTCCTATATAAAGAGGTTAGAATCATATAGAAATTCATTCAAAAAAAAATTAACTCTTGTTGAAACGTCTATTGTTATTAAATTCTCCAGCAGTTTTTCATTATGTCTGAAGAGCGTAGGATAAGAGTTTCATTATATTGCGGGTGTGAGGTTGTGATGGAGAATAACTCCGTGGGCTACAGTTTACCTGCTAAGTGTCATGTTAAATTGCCACTTACAATGGAGTACGATACATTGATATCGTTGTTATGCAAAAAAATGAGTGTGAGGAAACGTTCAGTGATACTTAAAGTAACCGGAAGATATCTGTATTCCGTCACTCCGCAAGGGGTTGCTTTTTACTCGGAGTTTAACATCGACGATGATGAAACTTTGAGTGATTTTCTGAGGACTCCGGACGAATGTCGGGAATTTCTTGTAATCACAATGTTGGAGATGTACGTGAAGGTCGAAGACGTTCCAAAAAACGAGGTTGTACGCAGTAGAGATAACCCCCAGTCATCGGGTAGTTATTCTGGAGCAGTTTTTGCCGGACAGGTTCCGGATGAAAGAGTTTTCTTTGATTTAAACTTATCACCGCCGCTGAATGAGCAGTGAGAAAATAATTTATACCCTGCTTTCCATAACTCACAAGACGAGTGGTAAACTTCAATTTTCATTTGTGTTAATTATGTATATTTTTGTTGTATTGAATTTGTATTAAAGCTCATATATTTAATAGGGGGTACCGGCCGGATATGAATTTTACCAGTGGCCCATCCGGTAGTCATCACCTAATTGAAAACGTCCATCATGGAATTTCATCACATTACGACTTGTAAGTGAAGTGATATAGCCATATGGAAAGCATTTATTAATTCAGTAGCTTATATTTTTGTTGGTTGTGCAGTGAAAACGAGCAAGTTGAAC